ACATACAATTTCATTATCATTCACTATTTTTAAGTTAAGAATCTACAGACCAGGTCTCATTCTAGGTCAATCTGCATGCAATTGCTATGGACTGTATATTTTTCTTCCTTTCTCAAAATGCAAAGTGAGACAAAATTTTCTGAGATTAAAAAAAATGCACCATCCTTTCCAGGGAGATTAACAATTGATACAACCTGTGGTCATGAGATGATGGAGAAAATAAAATAGATATATAGAACATCATATTGTCATTAACATATTTATCTTATTTTACTACTGATAATTCCTAATTTCTGGAGCATTTTTTTTCTTCATGTGTTTAAAATGGATGTTATAAATTTTCATAAATCAATACCTTTTATTAAAAAGCCATGAAAAGCATTTCAATATCTCCCTAAGAGTACTTAAATACTTTCAATTATTAAAAAAAAATCATCTGGGAAATATTTTCTCCCCTACAACAACTCTGGAGTGTTTGAAAACCTTACTCTGTCTAATGGTGGATTTTTTTCAACTGCTTTATGCGAACATGAAGATAAGTGCTATCTGTGAAAGAGATCTCTTTATCAGGCTTCAACAGGTGTAGGGAAATATTAACAGAAGTTATTGTTCTGAGGAACGGGAAATATAACCTGGAAGAAACGAACACTTCAAAAGCACTGAGTGCTGAGACATACAGGAAAGTTCTATTTCGGCTTATAAAAATTTCCAGAGGTAACACTTCACTCCCTCCTGTGACTTTGGCCCAAAACAAAACCACACAGAACTGAAGTAGGAGTGTCAGAAACATTCACTCCCGAGTTTTAAACCCTTTTCTTCCTCTTCTCTTACTTGAGAAGAAAGCAAGAGGGTGGGGAAAGTTTCTGACCATTTTGAAATTGAAGAATATATGAAGTGATGTGTACACTTAGATATTATTCATACATATATTTTTTCCTTAAATTGAGATATATGGCAAAATTTAAGCATCTCTCAAAATGAAACAAAATAGGAACTTAGCACAAGGAAATTGATAATGCCCCTGTAAATTAAAAGTAATGCTCTGAAACAACATTTCTGGAAGTGACTTTTTTTTTTTTTAGAGTGAAAGAAGGGAATGCGTAAAAGACTATAATTTTAAGGAAACCTGGTTTTAATTGACAAAAGAATTAATTTTTGAAACTTTTCTGTAGTAAGTGGAGTGATTTGATATTTATTCATATATAAAATGAGAAGTCCAGAAGTGAATGATATTTGAGTAGATTAATAGCTATCAAGAGTACAGAAGTACATAGGAAAAATGGTAAAACTGAAGAAAAAAATCATGAGACGAAAAGCATAATTATTTACATTCCTACTTAGTCAGTCAAAGATGCCCTGAATAAATTTATTTTCCTTTTACATCATGTGTCAGATAGTTTTTGATCAGACTTGGAGTGGCTTCAGACTAGTGCCCTAGAGATGAACTGCCTGCTACCTGTCCCTTGAGTGGTTCAGCTCCTCTGGAATGAAAGTGTTGATCATGGTTACACACTAAATATTTGACCATATAGATTTATGCATAAAGCAAGGAAATAATTATTTTTCTCAAAGCATAAAACATTTTAATATAGAACAGATAACGCCCTTCTGCTTGCATTAACCTTGCGAATTCATACATTTAGACAATATAATTTAATAGAGACCAAGGGTATTTGCTGTAAAAGACAACAGCTCACACAATTAAGATGATGAAAAATGTTGTAGAATGGGAACATTAAAAACAAAACAAAAAGAAAAGGAAGATATAAAAAAAAAAGAAGTACAGCGTAAAGATATCCAACTGTAATTTTTAACATTGTTAAAAAAAAAAGGTCAAAATTGGGATAAAAGGATGAAGAATATTAAGGTGAAATATGCTCTTGATAATTGTGATGAGCATTAAAAAGAGGAAAACTGACAGTATGCTGGTATGGAATATTGACTATTGAAAAGTGCAAGAAAATACATGCTTTGAGAATATATGAATGGATTCTAGTGTAATGTTACCACAGAAGGAAGCAGTTCCATTGGCATAATTACCAAATCACAAGTTCTCACAAGGTCCTACAAAGGAAGACTGAAGATTTCACCTACAAAGATATTTAAATTGGTGTCTGAGGGAAAAGCCTATACAGTCTCAAAATGCTTAAATGGACAGTCTGTGGTTTAGTAGCTCTGAACATATATCCACCCAAAATGATTTATTAAAGTCACATTTGATATCAATCAGTTGTTAATAAGTAAATTTCTAATATTTAGACATTGGTACAATATGTCTTGGCTATTGGGGTAGGTGATAAAATTAAGTGGAAGACAATTTTTACACTTAAATAGAGCAGAAAGTCACTAGAAAGAAAGGGAAATATTATTGCTTAATGGTACAAGATTATTTTTTTCACTGCTCAATACCGCATGGAAGATTACACCTGTGTTAGTAGAGGTATTTCTGCATATCCTTGAAACAAAACGATATTCACGTTGAGGGTGAAAAATGCCTGGTGAACAAGCAATTTAGAAACTTTTGGATACTAGATGGTCTCTGTGATTCCTCTTCCAATTCTACCAACAGGAATTTCTGATGAGTCTCTGGGATCAAAGGTCCATAGACATACATGAGCATCTGTAGGATCACAGATCTGAGAATTGGGATTGTTTACCCTGGAGAAGAGAAGGCTCTGGAGTGCCCTATTTGTGGCCTTACAGTGCCTGAAGGAGCTGACAAGAAAGAAGGAGAGAGACAATTTACAAGTGTCTGGAGTGACAGGACAGAGGGGAATGGTTTCACATTGACAGAGAGTAGGTTTAGATGGGATATCAGAAGAAAATTCTTGGCTGTAAGGCTGGTGAGGCCCTGGCACAGGTTGCCCAGAGAAGCTGTGGCTGCCCCATCCCTGACAGTGTCCAAGGCCAGGTTGGACACGGCTTGGAGCAACCTGGGATAGTGGAAGGTGTCCCTGCCTGTGGCAGTAGAACTGGATGAGC